TTCGGGTTTCTAAGGTGTGAGTCCTTGCTGTCAGGCTGTAACTCCCTGTTGTAGGAGAAAGCAGCACAAGAAGCTCTGTGTGTGTGTGTGTGTGTGTGTGTGTGTGTGTGTGTGTGTGTGTGTGTGTGTAGTGGCCTTTTTAAAATGTCAGTTTGGAGGTTTGGTGACAGAACTATAGGGAAAGGGAAGACAGAAAGGGAGCCTGATTCTGGGGACTGGCCCCCGAGAGGCCAGTAGACCAGGGCAGCGGCTCTCCACAGGGCTACTTTGTCCCCAGCAAACCTTTGATCATGTCTCAAGACACTTTTGGTTGTCACGACTGGAGGTTGTGCTGGCATCTGGTGGGTAGAGGCCAGCGACGCCATCAGACACCCAACAATGCACAGGACGTTCCCCTCACGTCAGAGACTATCCGGTTCAAACTGTCCACAGTGCCAAGGCTGAGAAACTCTGGTTAGAGCAAGGACAGCCGTGAGGGGCCGCCTGCCCGTTACCAAGAGCAGGAGTCGGACTGAAGGACCCATCCCGTTGCCAAGGCCCAGGGTGACAACGAGGGGAAGCCTGTCTCTCCACTCTGCTTCTGCTCCCCACTAATTTGCTGCCCACCCCCATTGCTCACCAGCAATGACCCCAGGGCAAAAGTGAGGTCCAGGAGACAGGAAAGGGGACAGGCCAGGATGCACCTGGCGACACAGAAGACACAGTTGTCCCAGCAGAGTTCCCTGGGCCAGAGCTGGGTGAGAGAGGGGCAGGAGACAGTGTAACTGAGTGGGACTCAGCTGATGTCTCTAAAAGCACGAAAGCAGAAGCAACTCTGACCACCCACTAATGACTGTGATTATCGGGCTGCCTACGAGGCGGCTTAAGAAATGATTTGTGAATTTAAATTTTAATTAAGGCAGGAGCCCTTGGGGCCTCCAGAGTTCAAGCATGAAGAAGGAAAATCCACTGCTGGAAAGAGAGGGCTCAGAGGGCCTCACGACCTGGAAGAAGGGTGCATCCTGCCCGCCCGGTGGCCAAGCCGCCGGCAAGGGAGCCCCAGTGTGAGGTCACTAGTGGACACAGGGACCAGGGGTCAGGGCTGGACAATTCAATGGAACTATGCATTTTGGGGTTCTGGAAAGTTCTTTAGATAAAAACATAAAAATAAGAAAAGCATCCAAGTTTTCTCCTGGTTTTGGGGGGTTCTCACCTTTAAAAGCTGTGCTACCCTGCCCACCACACACACCCGGGACCCAGCCTCAGAATTCCTGGGCTCTAGCCTCCTCTTCATCCCTGACAACCCAAGTGACCTTGAACTCTTGTTAATTATGTGGAGTCTCGGTTTCTCCATGTGGGGCTGATATGGACCCTGGTTTCCTCACAGGGCCATTTGGAGCCTCATCCCAAGAGAGATGGAGCACTTTGGAACAGGCAGTCTCTGGCAGGTCCACTCCGCTCACCTGGTTCCCCCGAAGGTCCAGCAAAAGCACCCTTTTACTTCTCAAGGAAGCTCTGGCCAAGAAACACCCAACCTGAGACAAAGACACAGCCCTGCCCACCCCACCTCCCCAAAAGTAGACAACAGTCTCTCTCAGCCTAGAGACACGGGTTCAAGTACTAAGTCCCACATGCAGTTTTGTGTGTGTGCTAAGTAACACAGAACGTCAAATTTACCGTCCTCGCCATGCCTCAGTGCACATTTCAGTCGTATTAAGTGTGTTCGCACTGCTGTGCAACAGCTCTCTAGAACTTTCTCATCTTGCAAGACTGAAACCTGGGAGCATCTGAATCTCAACTCGGCCTTCTGGTAAACTATGGGGTTTTAAGTCTCGATGAGCTTTGTGTGGTTTGCTCGGTGGAAGCACGTGGATATTTTACAACTACTTTTCAGGGTCATTGTATCTCATATAATGGATCTGCCTGTAACAGGAGTTCAGGAAATAACTTTGGTTTCTGTGCTGCGATCCGTTTCTAAGAAACATGGTCTTCCTGGGGGAGACAGTGTGACCCAAAGGCGGCCCGAAGGAGGAGGAACAGCGAGAGGTGGGAGAAAAGGGGGGACCAGGCTTTGTGTTCACAAATACTCCTTCCCAGAAACGAGCCATTTATCAAAGGACCAGAGTCTCGTTTACTGTCAAAACATGAGGGCTAATTACACTTGAAGAACAATGGGCGACAAGAGCAAAAAAGACAGGGCCTGTCCAATTAATGGGGAGAGATGGGGGGCGGGTCTCAAGCATACAGCATTTTGGACATCAGATTGGAATGGTTTAATTAGCCATTGCCGCGAACTCTGGATCGTCTGTTGTTCTAGAAGCCATTAGTCATCTACAGCTTTTCAGCACATTGTTTAGATTCCCCCATTCAACAAATGCATCCTGAGCACCTGTTATGTGGCAAGCACACAGGAGAGGCAGCACAGTCTAGTGGGAGACAGACAGCTCGGCTCACCAATGGGTGTCTCCAGCTCATTCTGCCTACGACCGAGTTCCGTTCTCTCCAACCCCAGGCTCCTCCCCCATGTTCCACATTTCAGGAAAAGGCCCCTCCACCTGTCCAGCCGTTCAGGACAGAAGCCATGGGGTCATCCCTGACTGTATTCTTTCCGCTAGACCCCCAGGTCCCGTTGGTTCTATTGCCAAAACAGCTTGTGCCTCCATCCACCCGCTGCAGGCACAAAGCCGTTACCTGGTCCGAGCCACCAGCTCTTGCTTTGGGTTATTCCAAGAGCCTCTCTTAAGATAAAAAGTGTGTTTTCTGTGTCTGTGCCTGCTTCCCATAGCAGCCCACACGACATCCAGGCGCTCCTTGCAATGGTGGGTGACGCCATGCCATTCCTCAGCTTACAGTCCTTCACCATCTGTCTTCCCTTCGCTCTTAGGCTGGAACCCAGAAGCCCTGACAGCCTCCGGGTCTCCAAGCGCTCTGTCTCGCCCACTCCCACAAGCCATCTCCGGTTACACTCCTGATCCTGCCGAGCTCTGGGCCCACCGAGCCCCTTCCTGCCTCGCTGCTCCCTGCGCACTGGCTCCTCCTCCGTCTGTGCACAAGCTGAGTTCCTTGTCATTGTTCCAGCCTCAGTGGAAATGTCACTTCCTGGCTCCACTGTCTAAGAGGCTTCTCCCAGTGCTTCTCTAGCTCATCACCTATTTATCTCGCGCAGAGCCCTCCCTTCACTGACAACTGTCTGCTGCACTTGGTTTGCTGGACGTCACGTTCCCGTTAGTCAACGGGTGTCCCGACGGAAGGGGCCTTGTCACAGCTGTACACCCAGGGCCCTGCACACAGTAAACGCTCAACTACTAGGTGGCGATAGCAATGATGGTGATGGTGTGCAAGGCACTGTAAGAGCTCAGGAGAGGACGCAAATAATTCTCTGGGTAAGATGGAGCTCTCAATGAAGATGTGTTGTGAGCTACGTTCGAAACCTCCAAGAGGGGTTTTCTGGATTAACAAGGGTAGAGAAGCAGGAGCAGGGTGCAGATAGAGGATTGGTAGATTGGGAGGGTAAAATGTACCACAGCCACAAAGAACTACAGAGCACGTGCAAAGACACAGAGTCACTTCAAAAGAGTGAAACTTCCAGCTAATTCCAGGCACAGTCACCACCTCAGTGATTGGGTGATGGAGGGAAGATGGCCAGGATCATCCCAAATCACAATCAAAATAAAATGAGAGCCAGCTCTCCACTGTCTGGGAGTGGGGGAGCCACACTTAAACCCTAACAGAGACCTGAGGCTGCTCGATGGGGCTTCAGGAGCGATAGCTACCCTTCCCATGGTGTTGGGAGGTGAGGGGGTCTTTTTGCTGCTGAGCCTCATGGGAGAACTGACCTCACCCCATCCCTCTCCAAACAGAGCATCTGGAATCCAGGCTCGGTTTTCCTGGGTCCTGCCATCAGTCTTTCCTTAGTTCTTGCCCACACAGCAAAGCCCAGTGGGCATATGGGCATGTCTGAATCTTGCTTCCTGGTTTTTACTGCAAATTGGCTGGTCAGTCTTAGGTAAGACAACATCAAACGCAGGGCTGGGAAGTAGAAGAACTGAGTCTATGCTAAAGTTCTTGCTTCTACAAAGAAGTCTGGCATTTATCCTTGTATCTGTGGCAGGACGTTAGGCAAAGGGGTGACCTAGATATGACGTGAGAAGGGTCGCCCTGGCCACAGTGCAGAGCTCAGATTGAAAGAAAATGCCCAGAGGCAGAAGGCCTGAGAAATGAGGCGTCTGGGAAGCAGGCATGACAAGGATTTGGGTGATCCCCGGATGTGACAAGTAGAGATGGGAGAGGAATCCGGGGTGACATGCAGACTGTAAGCGGATATCACGGGGTGAACTGAGCCATTAATCAAAATAGGTGACATCATCGAAAGAATGAGTAGGTTCAGGAAACTTCAGAGGCTTTCTCAGTTTTCTTCTTGGACTTCCCTCTCTGAAGGATGTGCACTCCCTCAGGAGTCGGGCTGCGTGGTTTATCTGCAGGATGTGTACCTGCTCTCTCTTGCCTGCTTGCCCCTAGTTAAAAGTATAATCACCGCCCTATTGTCACTGGGCTTGGCAGCCAGGGGACCTGTTTTAACCAACAGAATGTGGGCAGATGTGACACACACACACACATCCAAGCAGGAGCTATCAACATACCCCCATGAGGGTGGCTGTTCCTTGAGAAGACATTCCCCATCCCTGTCCAGGAGAACCCTGGGTGACCAGCAGCTGTGACGTACCATACGCCAGAAACTTACATCTTTGGGGTTTGGGAGGGTTGGGAGGCTAGGCAGTTGTCACTGCAGGAAATGCTGACTGTGACATTTCCAAGGTCTCGGTGTGACTTACCTTCGCTGCCTCCTAATTTGCTCACTGGCGAAGGCAACACTAGATGACTCCAAACTGCTTCCTAGTTCAAAATCATTTTTTTTTTAAGACTGTGTCACTGCTCTAGATTATAGCATTGTTTGGAGGTTCAAACATTTCTTTTTTTTCCCCTTTCCAACGATATAGATTAATTTGGCAAGTTCAACTTACCAAGGTCCAGACTAGCAGCTGACGATGCCAAACGAGCACAGAATGCTTTAAGCTGCTGCAGAAGAACTTCTATTCTGAAGACCCTGAGATTAAAAAAAAAAAAAAAAAAAACTATAGCGCACAAACCTGCCGCCTTCAGCGGCTTTGGTTATTTATACAAGCATTTCCCGATTCAAATTGCATACTCAAATCAAATTTCCCTGGTTTGTGCCTTCTTCAGCAATTACTTAAAGGCAGTTTACCTCTCTCTGGAGGAACATAGCAGAAAGGCCTATAGACAAAATCTCGTTGACTCAGGGAGAGATAAACGAACTCCGGGCCTGGCGCTACAGAAGCCACTTTGTCCACGGGAGGGAGGGAACGCTGATGGGGCCGTCTGGCCGGTTTTCAGCTTCGCTGATGGGAAAGCATTTGCTAAGGAAGAGGGTGAAGCCCCAGAAATTGAAGGACAAGGGTAAGCCTCGGGGGTGGGTGGGGGGTGGGAAGGAAGGGACCACCTTCTCTTCACAGACTTGCTTTTGTGGGGGGGGGGTGCAGGCTGACGGCCTGAGGCTGCTCCCACTCCAATGAGAGTGAGAAAAGTCAAAGGGGAAATGGAGACCAAGATTGTTTCTGCATCAGTAAGTTTCTGGGTCCTTGAAAATTCACCCTAAGCAGGATGAGCCCTACTGCAGATCTATGCGATGGGCAAATTTTAACCTCATTGAACTGTCAACTGGCCCTTAATTCACTTTTCATCACGTGGAAGAATTTCCTCATCCTTCCCCAAAGAAGCATCATTTGTTCATTCATTTACTCCAGGGTGAGCTCTCATTGGTTGGGCTTTGATCACATGTTCATCCTCAAACCAATCACGAGGGCCCAGACAATGCAGTACTCTGATTGGTCAGGTCTGTGTCACATGCCCATTAATTTATTTCCCTACGTACTATTTCTATTACATTTCCTTCTTCACTCAGTCGTTCAGTTAGCTGGATCGTACCTTGATTTGACTGTCTGGCATCTACTGTCTTTTCTCTTAGTAACCACACTCTGGAATTACTTAGAGGGAGAGTTCCCCACTGTTCCCATTACATATTGTAGGGGTGAAGGTGCACTCTGCTCCATTTCCTCCACTCTAGAGTTAGACACATGACACAGACCTGACCAATCAGAACACTGCATTGTCCAGGCCGTAGCAATTGGTTTGAGGGCAGACATGTGGCCCAAGCCAACCAGTGAGGATCCTTCCTAGAACTTTTGCTGGAATTATCAGGGGAGAGGAAGGGAAAATCTATTAACTTGCTGTGAATAAATCAATCAAGATAGGAAGCATTAACATAGACAAAATATCTCTAGTTACAAAAAGTATAGTGGAAAGCAGAGTCAGGGCTGGGATGTCATTCTAGAACCTACCGCTTGCTAAACCTGGAAAACCTTGGGCAACAAACGTGTGTCCGCATCTGAAAGATGAAGACGATAATGGCTACTCTTGTGTGTAATAGGCTGTGAATGTGCCACACCCCTCTCCCATCCAAGTTGCTGGAAGTAAAGGTCTTTGAGATGGTGGAGTTGCAAGATGAAAGCATCCCAGAGCCCCAAGTGACTGTTCAAGAGAAAAGTCAAGGACGGCCACCAGAACCACCTCCAACTGTGATGAAAAGGAGACGTACATCTTTTTTGTAGGAAGCCAGAAATGTGAGGTTTGCTTTCCTGCAGCAAAACAGAGCTTAGCCTGACTAATACAATAATCGTCGCTACAGTCATTCAGATGCCTGGAAAGTTCGTGCTATGAAGTCATTTTGCCAAGATGTGACTTTGAATGAATGGTATGCAGTAACAATGCCAGCAGATGCTAGCTCTCCTGCCCAGCATCTCCCCCCAGGACCCTTCCGTGGGTTGTGTGGATGAGAACATCTGAAACTGAGACTGTTCCTATCGCCCACCATAAGAAGGTGGGGGTTATTAAAGCATCTGAGTGGGTCATCAGGCAAAGATAAGGACCAAGAATCCAACCACAGGAAGAGACAAATCCCGACAAACCGCCCGCGTTAAAGGCACACTGCAAAGGAGGGAGGCAGAGCTAAGTCATATTAAGAATCTACAAGGAACCCAAGACACTAATTCAAAAAGATATCTGCACCCCCATGTTCATTGCAGCGCTATTCACAATAGCCAAGACTTGGAAACAACCGAAATGCCCACCGGTAGAAGACTGGATTAAGAAACTGTGGTACAAACATGGGCCAGTGAAGCAA